ACATACATACACACACACATACATACATACATACATACATACATACATACTGGCATCTGGCATGCCTTCATCTCTACCTTGTTTACTTTTTCTTACTGCCCTCCTCTTTCATTGCTCATATTTTGGTAATGCCCAGAGATTAACCATTAAGAGATAAATGTGGGCCATGTTTTTCAGGCATGGTTTTAATTGATAATTAATGACTCTGTAGACATTGCTATTGTTGATTTAAGCACCACCAGCTGTTTAAAGAAAGCAGGAAGAAGCAGAAGGAGGAGAAAAAGTTATACTCTAATATATCTGAAAAAACAGCAGGTGGTATGAATGAATAAGCTGCAAAAATATTCTCTATGCATAGTATGAGAATGTGAAGTAGGACTATGAACTTAATCACCAACAGCTTCAAAGACACATTATCCCAGTTGTGGAACTAGGTGATGATTTGAAACATACGGTGGTTCGAGAATGCCTCTTCCCAGGGCTCTGGCTGACTGGTATCCACCGGAAACAGAGCTGGGTCTGGAAGTGAATTCAGTAAGACATTGATTTCCCTTATTCCTCTTTTTCCCCAGTTTATCACAGAAAAAAGCAAATATTTAAAGAGCATTTTTCATTTGTGTATCATCCCAGACATTAATCCCTTTCTGAATAGCAATACACGTGCTGATGTGATCGTGTTAAGAGAACACCGACTTACAATTAGGGTAAGTTTTTCTGCTCATTCAAAATAGTTCTCTTGTATTTTTGTCATCCTCACAATTGACTCAGGATTATCTTCATACTGTAGGGGACAACACAGTCTTGGGGACTGAGATAAAAGCTCAGATTCTGAGAGAGTGAAGGAAGGACCTGTATGGAAAAGACTTTGCAATCTTCTTCTCTGCTCTTCTGCTACCCATGCCCCAAGAGAGATCTGCAGGACCTTTCCCAACAATCATGTCCCCCTTTAGGTTCCTCAACCCTCCAGATATGTTGGACCTGACTTTGGCCAATCTGGCTGATGATTACGCAGAGGATACAACATTGTAGAAGACTAGTTAAAGATTTGTTTTTACCATATTGTTCACAGTTCTTGCCGACATAGCCTGGGCAACATTTCCAGTGTAAAAAGCTTGCAACTTTTTGTTTTATCATATAGACTGGCTTCAAAGCTGTTCTGTACCTAGAAGAAGAAGAAAGAGTGATAGATTAGAAGTAAGCATAATCTCATACCCTGGTAAAAAAAAACCTTGGCAACATAGCAATTAGGAATGAATCAGAAGTTTTCGTTAGGTAAAGCCTACTGACTCCAGCTGACCATCAGATGGCAGCAAGGAGTTATCACTTCCTCTACCCCTTTGCTGCCATCTAGTCTTCATCTGGATTTCTGCAGCCCAGTTATGGTAGGCTTCATTTGCTTGTACTCCCTGTCTTCTCTGTTTCTCTAATACTTCCATGAAAGTATGAAAGAAATGATTGCAACCACCCAGGATTGCATTTAGAATGTGAAAATGTACCAAATAATTTGAGACTTCTTTAGTGTAATCCTGTTCATGGCCATGTTGATGTGAGTCCCACAGAGGCCACTTGGCCTTATGCACATAAGTTATCACTGATATTTCAGAGCTGCCAAAACCTCTTGATTTCTTTGATAGCATAAAGTACGAAAAGTCATACAATGTCAACTATCCAGATACCCCTGCACAGCAAATATCCTTGTGGGGGAGTTGGGCAATGATATAAATTTGACACATAAACAAATAAATAAAACAAAATATCATTTGACACCAGGAACTGCCTGCTGCCCCAAGTTAAATTACAGCAGAAAATAGCTTTAGCAACATTGGTTGGTCTGGCCTGTTCTGGAAAAGCAGAGGTAACTCCAAGATCTGGCTTCTCTTCTGGCCCTGGAAGCATTGTCCAAACAGAGCACCTCTGACATTTGACAAGTTCTCACACATTTAATTAAGACCCTACAAATCAGGGGTAAGTGAAAAAAGGAGCTTCATAGGAAGGACCTAAGAAAAATAATAATCAGAGCTAGACTATTTTTTAAGAAAAATGTTTTCAAATATTCTGCATTTTATGCTGCATAATTCCTTCCCGTGAAATGATTTCACGCATCCATGCTGTATTGACTTTACGTGCATGACAGTGCCTTGACATCCTCACACAAAGGAAGTACATTTTGTATTTCAGGTCAATCGTACCATGTAGCTAATGCATGATATTCCTCTCCTTTGCATAAGGAGGTCACTGTGTGCAGTTCTGTTCTTGACCTCCTTGTCTCCCATAGATTGCCATAACTTGTGAAGTACTGAACTGCAGTGGCTTGAGGTGCTTTTCATGGACTTCACGGCACTTTAGAAATAAACTCTGGAAACTTCTCTTGAGCTTGACGCCATAGGCTGAGCTGTAGGAATGTGTGGCTCTTGTCTGCCTGCTCTGCTGCTGTAAGATGCAGATTTCTTTGACCATAGTCCTGGCTTTGCAGAAGGCCTTCTTCTGCCTGGAGGGCCATCAGAGAGACAGTCTCTTTTGGGTGGTGTCCTCTCCCTTCTCTGAAAAGTTGTCCCCTTCAAGGTTTAAATATGCCCTAAAAAGGGGCTTAGAAATGCCCATCAACAAGACCACTGATTTTAACCAATTCCAGGAAGCCTTTAGGGGGGAACCATTCCTCATTTTGGGTGATGGGTTAGTGACTATAAATGAGGGACAATACTAAGAAATCATCTCTGGATTCCTGGGACATTCTGCAAAGCTCCTCTAAAATTCTTCTCTGGACATTTTGCCAGCGACTCTCATTTTGGGAGAACTGGCTGCTACAACCGTGTATCAATCTCTGAGCACAGCTCGAGTGTCTGCTTCTGGCTACATGCTAATGAATCAAACTGGAATAAATTACATAACCAAAGGTCTCAGTAATGAACTTATAAATCTGGCTTTCTGGGTTGTGTGCATTGCATTCATGTTGATCGGGGTGCTCTGGCGAGGTGTGATTCCCAAAGAAGGCAAATTCCCCTAAGCTAAACCAGGCATTTCCTCACCCCTGGAAACCTTCAAGCTGCATTAGATGGCATAAGTAATGCATTTATAGGGCAGACAAGATCTTCTATCCACCTTTCTCAAACCGGTTCCCTCCAGTGTGTTGAGGTTGCCAAATGTCTCCAGCCGTGCCAGGGGAGACATCAGACACTTTGATCTCAACACATCTGGGAAGGCAAGGCTGAGTTAAATGCTGTGTTGACACCCCCTTAAGAAGGAAAGTTTGTGCTACATACATGACCTTCTGGCAGTCTGGAGTCCCATTCGGACATGGTTGCTGTGACCTAATTATGTACTTCTCTGTCTTGCAAACTGCGACATACGTGACGGTGCGAGATTGAACAGAGGAACACCAGTTCCTAGGGGAAAAGAAAGAAATAACATATGGGATTTGCCATCATTGATCTCTGAAATCAAGCAAGTCATTTTTACAAGCAGATTCTCTGTCATTAATGGGGGAAACTGTCCTATCGGTCCTTTGCAAGACCATTCAAAAGCCTTGTTCTCTGCCTCTGGTGCAGTGGTGCAAACACAATAGAAACTACCTTACACAGAGAGAGGAGAGAAAACCGTGAATTAGAGCACTGGGTCATCCAGATTAGGACTGTGTGCATCAGCTCTCCTCAGTCTGCTTTCCTCCACACGTTTGAACTAGTTACCTGATCAATCCCAGCCAAAACATCTCAAGACCTTCAAGATGGGGAAAGCTGTTCTGTCCTGAGGGTCAGCAACCAAGCAAAGTTTCAGATAAGCAATGCCCAACTTGAGATGCCAAAGATTGAAGTTGAATGCAAAAACAAGAGCTTCTTTGACTCCTGGTGACTGCCTGGACAAGTCCCTGCAGCTTTCTCGGCAAGATGTTCAGAAGTGGTTTTCTGGCCTTCTTCTTCCTAGGTCACCCAGCTGGCTTTGTGCCTAAGGCAGGACTAGAAATTGTGGTCTCCTGGTTTCTAGCCTGGTGCCTTAACAACTATATCAGACTGGCTCTTCTAGCACACAACCTTCTAAACTCCACGCTGGCTCCACCTCCATTTCAGCAGGTCCCATATGGAGTGGCTCAATCTGCAAAGATGTTGTGTTAGAAGCTCAGTTCACCCAAAGTATTGATGTTTTGGAAAACATGAGCGGGCAGTTCCACCCAGAATTGTCCTGGATCAGTAACTATGGCAGATGCCAGGAAGGTGGAGGGATTTTGTTCCCTTCCCATTGTGCCGATATAAATACACTTTTTTCCTAAAATGGCAGGTGAGCAAATCAAAACAGAGAACCTCATACAATGCCACAAGCCTCCAGAGAGGAACTTGGAAAGGTCAGTGGTCCTTTCCCCATGGCTGTTTCTGATGATTCGCATTGAAATTGGGTGTTGGTCTCCTAAGAATAGAAAGAACTTCACCCTGTGAAGAATGGCTGGTGTAGTTTACTCTCTTGGAGTGGGAGTAGAGGAACTCAAGTTCTGATAATCTCCTTACATGGGAAAGTTTCTGCTTTGGAGCTGGAGTGTCCGAAACAATGGGAAGTGCGTAAGGCCTCCGAGGGGAAATGGAGATCAGACCTGAGGTGGGGCACTGTTTGTGTTTGTGGCTACACGTGAGAGAGAGGAGCTTTGCAACTGAAGGTGGTAACCAGGCAGCAGACCAACCCAAAGCCAAGACACAACTGTGCTCAGCTTTTGCAATGAACTCTCCCCCTGAAGAGAGGGACCCTGTTTATAATGGGTGTTTGAATGCACAGACATGCAGATACATACACATTGCGCATGCACGGTTGCATGGAACTGACCTTGAAAAGGCTAAGCAACTCTGGACTTGGTTAGTACTTGAAAGGAAAAAGTGCCCAGAAGTTCCAGAGTTGTTGGCTAGACTGAGAAGTTAAAAACTTGTAGAACAAGGCAATGGTACAACACGTCTGTATTGTTCCCCAGAAATTGCATGGACATGTCCAGGTAGTCATCCAGAGTTCAGTTTGATCCAAAGCAAATGTTATTCTCTTCTCTCTCTCTCTCCCCCACCCTCTCCCATCTATCAACTATCCTATTAAAATGAAAAGAAGATGATCTGAATTTAAGATTGAAAATAATTATCTACAGAAATCCCATGCAGCGCCCTTCTTCACATCTTGCCAGTTCTGTCTAAAACAGTCCTAGACATTTGTGCTGATTAAAACTGAAGTAAAACATAAAGTTCCTTGATCCCCATCTGCATGTATCTATCAACCATCCTCTTTCGATCACCTCATCTTCAGGCATTGTTAACGAAGTACTCTTGGCTTATGATGCTACCTAGGACTTGGTCAGAAATTCAATAATCTTCCAAAATAAATTCTGCAGAAAATGTGCTCTAAGGAGGGAGACCCCTCAGTTGCATCTGTGTGCTTGGCACTGCTCTGAAAATGTTTCCATGCTCACTGAGTCCTCCCCACTCCAGCTTTATCCCCTCGACTACTTTCTCATGAAAATGAAAGCGCACACACATTGCCAACTTGGCTGGCATGATTTTATTCTGAAACAGACTTAGTCTTTTGGGAAGCCTGCCAGCCACAAGCACGGGCTGGTTTTCAGGAAAGGAAAACTCCTTTCAGACAGGCCTCTCTTCCTTCAATTGTTTGGTTGTTCCCAGCGAAAACCGGCCTTGCTTCCTGAGTCAGCATCTTGCTTTCTTTCCCTAATCCAGGATCAAAAGTAAAAGGAGAGAGACACATTCCAGACTAAATGGACCAAGACTGGACTGGCATCTCTCGGCCCAAATGAGAAGCAAACTAATCTGTGGTTTAGGGCTTTGAGTGGTGAATTGAACTGGGTTAAAAAAAAAAACTTGGTTTAAAACGCCCATTCAGTGCGGCTGACTTTGGATCTGTCTACACTTTCAGCCTCAGGTATCTTTCAGGGATGTTGTGAAGATCAGATGGCTGAAGATCCACGTATGCTGGCTTATGCTTCTTGGAGGAAAGCAAGGCGGACATGGATTGGATACGTGATGGGGCAGGGCTGGCTATTGCTCTGCAACTGCTCAGTTCACTCCTATTTCACTCCTATTTCTGAGCTGCAGATTTAGGTAGGAAACCATTGGGGCCTACAAAGAATAGCATTCTGGGCTGGAATCACAATAATGCCCAGGGTCCTACTTCAGGTTTCTGTCATTATTTGAGGAGTTTCAGAAGAGCTTCTTGGCCAGGATTCATTAATTCAGTTATACCTAATGTATATCAACACTACGGCATCCAAAGTGTGCACTTTATCTTGAGGAACGCTAGTTGGAAGCAAAGAGAAGCAGAAATATTAGCCCTTTGATGCCACCTAGTGGTTGCCTGGAGCTTTGCAGCCCACATAGGGGCGCTCTACTTGGACCAAGGATTTTCCCTGTTGTATTTAGAAAGCAGTTTCTTTGGGGGTAAAGGCCAAAGTCAAAATCAACCAATTCGAAAGTCTTATAGGAAGCAGGTCAAGAAAGAGCAGGTTCAAAATGAAATGTTGATTTCTGAAAAGAATCCAAGACAGTCCTTGCACTTGAATAATGCAGTGATAAAGTGTTTTCTCTTTTCCGAAAGCTGCTTTGGTTCCTCCTTAATCCATATTATCACACCAAACTGAAGAATCCTAGAAGAGTCCAAAGAGGTTTAATTTAGCTTACACCTCTGCCTAAAGTGGCAAACCCACTGGAATGAATTTTGAGGTGTTCCTTCCTTCCCTGTATGAACCCATGTTGGAAGCGTGGTTGGCATGAAGTAAATGAGTTCTTCTCCCCTGCAGTTGATACCATCCATGTCTTGGATGAAATACCTACTAGAGAAATTGTAGAGTTTTGACTGGTTTTATTTTTGGTTTGAGGTGTGTGTTATTTTTACTCTTTTGTACATTGTCCTGGGTTGTTATTACAATATGGGCAGCTATATAAATCTTTAAAATAAAATAAAGGAATAAATAGATTAATCTGTGGGTCCCCCATCCCCACCTTCCCCAGTCAAGGCAACAGGACATGCAAGAAGGCAACTCTATGTTTCCAGATCTTAGCAGGGGGCAGAACTGGGGAATATGAGGGCTGCAGGCTTGAAAAGTCCTCAGTGCTTAGAAAAGTTGCAAGGAAAGGAAAGGACCAGCAGCAAGTGGATGGATTCAGTGTGATGACAATGAAGACACCTCTGAGAGATCTAAAAGGCCAAGTTGGAGACAGATTATTCTGGAGAGAATCTATCTATGCAGTTGCCAAGAGTCAAAACAGACTTGATGGCCCTTAAGCAAGCAAGCAATAGCAAACCACTTCCGTACTTTGGTCACCGAAACTGCATAACAATGTCTGCAACAGGATCAAATTCAACTTGAGGATGTCTTTTAAGGGTGTTGTGTTTTGTTTTTTTTACATATTTCCAGGTACTGTTCTGATGCGGAGTTCTGCAACATTCAGAGAAAAAGTATTCCAAAGGTTGAGAGCAGAAAGGAAAAATTATGAAAGCTAAGCAATAGATTAAAAAAAATTGTGGAGAATGCAAAGAGAGAGAAAGGAAGAGGTCAATAAATGTTGACATTTATACGGAAAGTAAGAGTGGGTTAAAACAGGCTATATGGAGTGAAGGGGGAAAAACTGCTGAACAGCAGAAAAATGAGTGTGTTGAAGGAAATAAGGCTGCTACAGAAGAAAACAATAAATGAATGAAATAAAGCAGAAGTATTAACTTCAAGTAGAATAAAATCTAAGAGCTGGATAGGATTTAAAGGAGTAGATAGAAAATGATGAAATTTAGCAAAACAAGTTGCTGGAAAGGATACATTTGGCACGTACTGGAGTTGAAAGAAAGCTAAAGGCCATTTGAACGTGAAACTAGAAGACATTTTGAGAAGCATGGAATTGCTGCTGCTGAATTCCCCCCCCACCCCACCCCATAGCAGAACTGGTGAACATTGACTTTTGGCTGGCAAGTTCATTACTGAGGATAGGTTTGATTAAAAGAATGCTGCCTGGCCACCATAAACATCCTTATGGGGTTCCAAAATGTCTGTTTGGGCTAAAGGTAGGCTCCAGGTTTGTTAAGATTAAAGGCTTAACACAACCCAGGATGTCTGTCTGTCTGTCCATCTATCTATCCTCTCACAGAATGCCAGAGTTTGGAGAGGGCATCTAGGCCATCAGTTTCAACCCTTTGCTCCTCATCAGACTCCAAATTTAAGAATTCCCCAACAGGTGAGTGTCTGGCTTCTGTTTGAACAAGGGGAGGTCACCACCTCCCTCAGAAGTATGTCCCGCTGCTCTTATTATTAAGCAATGTTTCTGAACTTTCTACTCTCGCCTGCCTTCCTGTAACAAGAGACCATGTTTCCAAGTCCTCTATCTGGGATGACGATGATTTATAATTTAGATGCTGTTTTCCC